GAGCAGACTGGAGAAGGGATTGCAGTTGGGGGTGATTCTCACCTTTTGCCTCTCTGGCGAGCACACACTCCCTATAGCAAACATCCCTCTAAAAAAAAAAGAAAAGAACTTCCTGCCTGCATAGAAAGAAGCAGCCCCCTAGGCTCTCTCAGCAGTTGCCTAGGTGATGTGAGGCTCACAGGAAGAGGAGCGGTGGGGCTTAAAACTAGTCAGCAGAGCAAACATCAAAAATAGAGGGGATCAGCAGTTGGCATAATAGCTATGTCGCTGGACTCCCAAGTAGTCGACCGCGGTTCGAGTCCCGGACCCAGTGGCTTAAACTCATGCCAGGTGCGTGTGCGTGCGTGCCCAAGAACCTGAGAGGAGAATGGAGGAGAAGGGATTGTGGTGTGGCCATCCCCCCTGGGGGGTGATTTCTCTCTTTCTGTCTCTATGTCTCTCTCTGTCCTTCTAGCGAGCACATGCGCCCAATAAGAAAAACCTCTCCCAAAAAAAAGAAAAAAGGAAGGAAACCCTGTACATCCGGCATCTATCTATTGGCATAATAATGTTGTAGAACTAAAACCCCAGAAATGCTTATTGCTCACATGTCTGGAGTCAGCTGAACAGCTCTGCCAATCCTGCCTGATTTCATTAACCTGCCTGAGTCTGCTGTCAGCTGACCTTGGCTGGCTTCCCATAGGGAAAGTTTCATGTTCAAGAAAGGAGCAAGAGAGAGAGATGGGAAGACAGCCCCCTCAACAGGGCCTAAGCATCCCGCTTCACCCCCACTCTCAGTCAGCCCTGGATCATGGGCACAGGTGTAGCCGCTGTGCTCAGGGAGGTCTCTGGATGCCAGCCCAGAGTCTTCCCATGAGCGCCTGCCTTGTAGAGTGCTATGTTTTATATATATATATTGAAGTTTATTTAAAAGCTGAACTTTTAATAAATAAATAGGTAAATGACGGGACCAGCAGTTAGCACAATGGCTATGTCGCTGAACTCTCATGTAGCTGACTGCGATTCGAGTCCCGGACCTGGTGGCTTAAGCTCAAGCCGGGCGCGTGTACGTGCGTGCCCAAGATTCCGGGAGGAGAATGGAGAAGAAGGGACTGTGGCATGGCCATCTCCCGTGGGGGGCGATTTTTCGCTTTTTATCTCTCTGTCTCTCTCTGTCTTTCTGGTGAGTGCATGCACCCTACAGCAAAAACCGCTCCAAAATAATAATAATAAAATAAATAAGTAAATGAGATAGTCCCAAGGAGTTCAGAGTATGATATTGGGGGCGGGGGAGGTCATACAAATTAATACTATTAAAATAACAAAATGAAATTCAGTGTCAGTGCAACAATAGATATCTTAAAAGGAGGTGGCACAGAAATGACACGCATTAACTTTCTCCTCCTTGCCATAGATTTCATAGCCGATGTAATAAATGTTACTGTCATCAAACTTTCCTTTGATTCTGAGGGCAAGAAGAGGATGCTTACTGGTACCACCCAGTGAATGGCTTTGTGAAAGTGCAAGCTCTCCAGAAGCAAAACTAGATTGTAAGTTCTGTTAGGCTAGCAGAAAGTCATTTGATTCTTTTACTTTTCCATTATACTAAGGAAACATCCAGTTCAACCGAAATTTATTATGTCCCTATATGCACAGGTTGTTTTGCTGGGTACTTACTAAGAATTGGGGATCCCTAGCAAAAATAACTAAACAAAGATGACTAAAAAATGCTATCTGCCTTCAAAAAAGTTTGGGTCCATAAGAAAAAAACAGAAGCCACCCTAAGTATTTTATGTTTTATTTATTTATTTTTTAAGAATTACTTATTTGGGACCAGCAGATGGCGTAATGGCTATGTCGCTGGACTCCCACATGGTCAACGGTGGTTTGAATCCTAGATCGGGTGGTTTGAGTCCTAGACCCGGTGGCTTAAACTCACACCAGGCAAGTATGCGTGCGTGCCTGAGATCCCAAGAAGAGAATGGAGGAGAAGAGACTGGGGCATGGCCATCCCCCCGGGGGATGATTTCTTGCTTTCTGTCTCTCTGTCTCTCTCTGTCTTTCTGGTGAACGCACACACCCTATAGCAAACCCCCCTCCCAAAAAAAGAATTTTTTAGAATTATTATTTATTTAATTTTATTTATTACTTTTATTTTTTAATTTGCTATAGGGCTTATGTGCTCACCAGTGGGAGACAGAGAGACCGAAAGGAAGTGAGAAAGTAAGCTGCCAGATCTTAGACTCATACCTCGGTCAGACATGTCGGAGTCCAGAGTCCCAACCGCCATGCCACCTGCTGGCCCTAAGTATTTTTATTCCATTATTTTTTCTTTATTCATCATCAAATTCATGCACACTCTTGAGAGAGACCAAGAGCGAGAGAGAAACATTCTCCACAGCGTCCAGCCATCCTGCAATGCCCTCCCTCCAGTTCTCCAGCCCAGTGAATCCCACGCACTCCCGCGGTTATGTTCCTGTCATGTTTCAGGCTAACCAGGCTAGGAATTCCAATCGTGTCGCCATGTGAGATCCAACTTCCCTTGAGCAACACCTTACTGCTGCACCACGGGGCTGGCCCAGTATTTTAAATAGAAGACAGTACAGAGAATGGTTACTAAATGATAGAGGTAAGATGCCAAACAGGGAAGAGGGAGGCAATCCACACTATAGAACTGTGGAATGCCACCTCTAATCCCAGTGCTGAAGGGACTAATGGGATAGGGCAGAAGCTAGAACCACATAGACCCGACCTGCAAGAGTCACGAAGATGTACATCCATTTGGGTTAGAGCGACGGGATATTCTCGCATCTAGCTTCTCCCTCTTACTGCTCTCCTGGCTCCCATTGTGCCCAGACTGTGGGCAGACAGACAGAGGAGAGGTGAACGCTGCATGTGAGAAGAGATCCATGATGCCTGGCACACTGCAAGAGAACTCACCCAGGCATCGACCAGGCTTGTCAGCACATCCTTCAGGGAGCAACCCTATTTCACGTGTCAGAGCAGGCTATGGTGCGATGATCTACTTGTTCCTTTTGATGTTTGGTTTCATCTGTTCCCAGTAGACACCCAATTTGTGGGCTTTTTTTTTTTTTAAGCTCCCCAGGAGATTCTGATATAACAGTCAAAAGCTTTCAAAACACTGAACATCCAAATATTCTCTTCAAAGAGAAACTTCCTCTCAAGGCCACTGTATAAAATATACAAAAGCAAAGCTGTACTGTTGGGACTGGCAGGTGGCATGGTAGCTAAAGGTGCTGGACTTCCACGTGGCCAACCATTGTTCAAGTCCCAGGCCTGGTGGCTTTCCTTCTCACTTTCTCTTTCTCTCTCTCTCTCTCTCTCTCTCTCTCTCTCTCTCTCTCTCCAAACTGGAAAATAATAATAATTATAAAAAAAAAAAAAAAAAGCTGTTCTGCTTAAAGCCTAAATCTCTTTCCAACCCACACCTCTGCTGGGGACATGGTTTGGAAATTTGAAGGTTCCCAAGTCTTGGGCCAGCCAGTGGTGTGATGGTTACGGCAGCTGGATCCCACATAGTCTACTCTGCAATTTGAGTCCTGAATCCGGTGGCTTGAGAAACACACCAGGCACATGTGCGTGTGTGCCTAAAATCCCAAGAGAAGAGTAAGAAAGGATTGTGGTATGGCCATCCCTTTGAAGGAGTGCTTTCTCACTTTCCCTCTTTTTATCCCCTCTCTCTCCAACAAGCATATGTGCCCTACCCCTACAGCAGACATTTGGGGAAGAGAAAAAGACTCGTGAGTCTAGCCCATCTCATTTGATGACGCCTTCCTCACACAGAAACGTGGACGCCCACTGCTGTCTCTTCAGTGCTCTCACATGTAGACATTCGTCACCAGGCCATACAGCGACCAGTGTGCTGTGGCAGTAAAGGACGCCTGAATCGACCTGTGTTAGACCTAACAGAGCTTGGGAAAGCCCCGGTCCTGAGCTGTACATGGAATCAAGATTGGTGATGGGTTATTCTAGCACAGTTTGGAGATAAGACGGTGGGTTAATCTCCCGCTGTGTGGCAGATAGCTTCTTAAACTCTGAAATGAAATTCGGTGAGGCATATAAGATAGACTAGAAACACTTTGCTGGGCCTCTTCCATTAGGCAAGATTTTACAGAGGAAGAATTTTGCCACTGCATTTCAAATATTTTTTCCTTTAGTTAGTCCCAATCAACTTAAAAAGGTTTTGCCTGAAAGGAAGGCCGTTTGCATTCCTTCCATCTCCTTCAAATCCTACTCCTGCATCTTTAAACAGTCACACAGAATCTTTGGGGAGAGCAGAGCGGACGGAGGTGGGCAGACAGGGTCTTTGGAAACCAGAGTGAAAATAAATTCTTCACCAAGAACGGATCGTCAGCCTATCAATGGCTCTGCCCAGATGAATTCTTTAAGATGTTTTATTTCTATTAAAAACATGACAGCTCCCTGATGTTCGCTGTCCGTGGCTCAAAACTCAATAGGAAAAATAAAATTCAACATGCCAAGTATTCAAGAAAAGCTTGAAGAAGTAAAAGGAACCAGTCACTCTCTGGTCCGCGTTGGGAGGCAGAGGGTCCTGCAGAGCCTTCAGGAGTCGCCTGAAAGGGGACCCAGGAGCGAGGGCGTTAAAAGCCCGTCCACACGAAGTTCTTTTAGAAAACAAAAGTGGCCCAAGTAGGGTTGGAGGCACTTATGGTGCCCAAAACTAGCGGATCACATTCACTCTCTTCCTCCTTTTCACCTTCCTCCCCACCTCTGCCCTGCCCTCCAGGGTCCCCCTGCACCCCTCCCTTCCACACAGCCTGACTGCCCATCCCTGCTCTTCCCGCCCTCCCAAGCCCAGCGTGCGTTGGGACGAGTCTACGCGCACCCAGGACTCGTCCACACCGGCTCTTCACACCCACGTCTTTGGTTTCCAGCCGCCCCCACTATTTCCGGCCAAGGGGGATCCCCGCCCAGGGGGCCGCCCAGGCCTAGGTCCTCCCCCGCTCCCGGGGCCGCCTGACCATAAAGCGCCGGGCAGCGGCCGCAGAGCCCAGCCGCCCGCGCCCCCAGCTCCGCGCGTGGCCAGGACGCGAGTGCACCCCCGACGGCAGTCCGCCTCCGCGCCCAGCGCACGCCCCGCGCGGCGCCTTTCACCTGCATTGCCGGTGGGCGCGGACTGGGACCGCGCAGCGCCTGGGGACACCGAGGCAGGGCAGACGCCAGCGCAGCCTGCGGATCCCGCGCACGCTCCGGGAGCAGGAAGAGCCAGCATGCCGGCCCCGCGCGGAGCCGCCCTCCTCCTGTTGCACCTGGCCCTGCAGCCCTGGCTGAGGGTCGGTGCCCAGACCAGCCCCCGCGGTAAGTGGGCTCGGGCCAGCGCCTGGACCACGCGCGCCCGGTACCCCCATCCGGGCGAGTGGACAGACGAGACCGTCGCCGGCTCGAACCGTGCTCCTGGGACTCACTGAGCCCCTCTGTATCTGGGGTCAAATCAAAGCATATTGTGATGGGAAGCGGTGCTTAGAGTCTAGAATTTTCTGAATCCGATTATCCAGTGATGAAACTAATTCCCCAAACCATCCTTTAGGGGTTGCAAACATTGTTTTCAGTCTAGGCAAAGGCGGGGGTTTACGTCAAAGCCTGCCACATCCCTACATCCCCACATCCCCATGTAGTGTCTGGGGTAGGGTGAAAACCGGGTTCTGTCCTCTGCAGCCCTTTCCCTCCGCTCAGCCCTTGTCCCCTAAATCCTCCCACCGGGCGGGGATGTTCTCCAGAGAGTCTGAAACCCACACCCCCGAGGAAGGCGCAGCACTGCCCGGATGGCGCAGACTCCTGCCCCCCTCTCTGCCTTCTCTGCCTGCCCCCCACCCCTACCCCAAGCATCCCCTTCTTCAGGAGTCACCTCTTAATTCCTGAGATAAAAAGGAAGAGCTGAGCAATCCTTGTTTTCTATTAAAAAGTTTTTAAAAATCAGTCATTTGAAAAGATACTTGGAAAATCAACAAACCCTTTGTGAGATGGGGTGAAAAGAGCCACTGGGCAGAAAGCACTTACGGTTAAACAGGTTTTTGTTTGTTTGTTTGTTTGTTTGTTTGTTTTTTTCTTAAGATGGAAAGGAAGAAATGGTTTAAGCAAGATCTTAGTTAGGGCTCTAACTTGCTTTCTAGCGGTGACCTTCATCTCTCTGAAATTTATGCCCTGGTTGATCTATTATGAACTAAGGAAATAAAACCGTAAGAGAAGCACAACTTGAAGTCACAATTGTTATTTCTTAGGAAACCAGAGCAAAGAATACCCCTCGCCTCCTGTTGTAGTAATCACCCATTTAAACTTTTGCATTTCACCAACGAATTTGTCCCAGTTCTAGACGAGGCAACCAGAATGGCAGTTTCAGGGAGAATTCTACTACTTACCTTTAGTCTGGGCTTTTGGTTTTTGGGTTTTTTTGTTTGTTTGTTTGTTTGTTTGTTTGTTTTTTTCTTAAGATGGAAAGGAAGAAATGGTTTAAGCAAGATCTTAGTTAGGGCTCTAACTTGCTTTCTAGCGGTGACCTTCATCTCTCTGAAATTTATGCCCTGGTTGATCTATTATGAACTAAGGAAATAAAACCGTAAGAGAAGCACAACTTGAAGTCACAATTGTTATTTCTTAGGAAACCAGAGCAAAGAATACCCCTCGCCTCCTGTTGTAGTAATCACCCATTTAAACTTTTGCATTTCACCAACGAATTTGTCCCAGTTCTAGACGAGGCAACCAGAATGGCAGTTTCAGGGAGAATTCTACTACTTACCTTTAGTCTGGGCTGAACTATTTGAAGTGCTATAGTCTGTAATAGGCATTGTCCCGTGTACTTCTCAGAAGTTAAGGCAGAAAGCTTTTTAACACAATTAAAACGTTTTTTTCATTGCCGATGTTATTTGGCAGGTTCGAATGTATGGGGATAATATTTTGTGTTATATACATTCTCGACATTTGAACACAGCTTCATGGTGTGCTGTAGATATGGATTCTGCCGCTTCTTGGACAGACCTGGCCGTTTATGGAGACTGAGACTCGGGCTGTTACAGCCTCAATGATCTCATTGAGTTAGTTGCTGCAGATGATCTGATTAAATCTAGCTTCTGATAGATTTTTGTTTACTGAATTGTCTAGTCTGCTGTTATCAGCTCAACTGGATAATTTGCGTTTGTCCTTTCCCTCGGAGCCGCGTATCTGTTCTTAAATTCATATGTATTTGACTCACACACCAGGGTAGGTGGGCTCAGCAGGGGCAGTAACTTGACCTCTATCTAACATTAGAGGGTTCTGCTGGGATCCTGGCACTTCTACTAAAACCTAATAACGTTAATAGAAAATGGTAGTGTCTCATTTCCTTTTCAAAACACACTCTAAACTCATTACTAACTAATCCCAACTCTGCCTCTTGAGAGAGAAGCAAATGGATCCGACAAACCACAGAGATTGAAATACAGCAAGTTTAGCCTGAGCGTTAGGGAGCTGATCGCAGTCAAAGCAAGAATCAAGAGTCCCAAGAGCTCAGTGTTGAACACCGTGCCCAGACCTTAAACACACATCTCTTTTACGAAGATGCCTTGTCCTGCGTGGAACTTTTAAACATAGCACCTTATTTCCCAGTGCACTCCTTGGTGGAATTGTAAAGCTTCCAATTCTCTGGAAATTGAAAAACCCAATTTCCCTTTTGAAATGTGATAGGTAGCAGTCATCATGGCATGGGGATGTGGGCCGTAGAGGGAGCAGGATGGAGGTTCTGCTTCCCAGCACTTCTGCTATGAGATCCATTGCTGTGCGAGGGCCTCTGGAACACAGGAAAGAAACAGTAGAGATCCAGTTTGAAAGCAAATTGTCTTTTTGAAAAAATAGACATTTTTGAGTAATTCAGTTTTTGCCTGTTTTCAAACTTTTTCTTATTACAAAAACAATACTTGTTCTTTGTGGAAAAACTGAAACTAGATTAAGAAAACAAAGAAATAAAATGATACAATCTAGAGATTATTACTAATGTTCACATATCATATTGGCTTTCATTTCATATCTTTTTCTACACAAAGATGTATTTCAAACGTAGTTGTTTTATATTGGGTCATCAGAAAAGTCCTGAAGTATTTTTCTGTGAGAAAATACATCATGATTTTTCCAACAATCCAATACATAGTTTTATCATCTTTTTTTAAATGTATCATTTATGTTTTTGCATATCTGTAGGTATTTAGCTGCAATTTTTTTTTTAGAGAGAGAGTTTTTCCTATAGGCCTCCTGCGCTTGTCAGAGAGACAGAAATTGAGAAATCAGCCCCCAGGCGGGATGGCCATACTGCAACCCCTTCTATGCCAATCCCCCTTGGGATTTTGGGCATGCACACACATGCGCCCAGCGTGAGTTTCAAGCCACTGGGTCTGGGACTCGAACCGCAGTTGGCCATGTGGAAGTCCAGCGACATAATCATGACGCCATCTGCTGGTCCCTTAGCTGTAATTTTTAAATAGGTAGTCTCACATGTTTTTTTAAGGATCAAAATTTATTAATCAGGACTCTAGTGTAGAATCCATAAGTTGTTTCCAGTGTTTGATATTGTATGTAATAATTTATTGAATGATTACAGTGTCACAGGATGGCTTGGGCTGGCTTTAACATCCCTTAATCTCTGTCAGTCCCTTCTTTCTTTGATAAGGACAGTTTATGTTTCATTATAAAATGCTATGCCAGCAGGACTTGGGTTTCCTCCCTCTTCCAACTAGATTTTCACCTAGTTCTTTCCTAAATAGGAATCCTAGAATTACCACTGGTAATAACCTTGTACATAAATCATTTACCATATTATCCGTTATTTCCTTAGGATGCTTTTGGTAAGTAGAATTGCTAGGTTAAAGAGCACATATGTCTTAGGGCCCGTGATATTGCTAGTTAAACTGTCTTCAAAAGATTTCTAGTATTTTCAGTCTTACTGAACTGTATGTAGGAATACACTTCTCTCAATGGCTCACCAACTGTTGATTACTAATTGTATTTGTTACTTTTTTAATTTGATGATGTACATATGTTACTGTTAGAGTTACCTTTTTTTGTCATTAGGTAAGCATATGAACATATATTTATATTTTTAAAATAATTATTTATTTTATTTACTATTACTATTATTCAGTTTGACCAGCGAGAGACAGAGAGAGAGAGAGAGAGAGAAAGCAAGCTGCCAGGTCCAGGACTCAAACCATGGTCAGCCATGTGGGAGTCCAGCACCTTAACCACCATGCCACCTGCCAGCCCCATATACTTATATTTTTAATGGTCGTTTTTAATTTTTTTTCTGTAAATTGACTTGCCATGTTCCTTGCCCTTTTTTTTACTAGAACATTAATCCTCTACAAATTAGCAATATTGCCCTTTTAATAACCAGATTATTGTGTCTAGGAGACAGATCTAGGCGTTGTGTGCTCACCAAAGAGAGAAACAGATAGAGAAAGCACTCCACAACAGGGTATTGTCACGTTACAATCACTTCGCGTTCATTTCTCCACCATCTTGGGATTTGGAGTATGCACACACATGTGCCTGGCGTGTTTTTAAGATGCCAGGGCTGAAACTCAAACCACAGTCAGCCATGTGGGATCATATGGAATCTGTCTCCCTTAACCTGTAGGCCACAGGGACAGCCCAATACCAGTTGCTAGTGAGAATTACCTATTTGGCTTTAGCCTTTTTTTTTTTTTTTTTTTTTAATCATAGTGCACATGTGCTCACTGGAGAGAGAGAGAGAAAGTGAAAAATCACCTCCCAAGGAGAGGTACAATCCCTTCTCCTCCATTCTTCTCCTGGGATTTTGGGTAAGCACGCTCACATGCCCAGTATGATTTTCAGGCCACCAGATGTGGTACTCAAACCACAGTTGGTCATGTGTGAGTCCAGCACCTTAGCCACTGTGCCACCTGCTGGCCCCCAATGGGCCTTTGCCTTTTAAGTGGCTCTGAACCTATTCTCTCAGAGCTTTCATGAGCATTATGTTTTTGAGAGAAAGTGCTGCTGACTGAGTCAAAACCAACTTATACAAATATTGTGTCATCGGAAAAATTATGACATAGTTTTCTGTGTTTTTATGCAAAAAAATGTGTCGTGACTTTTATGATGACCCAACACATATGCAAACTCAACTTTTTGTAGACCAGCTCTCCTCGTCAAGATTTAGTCAAGAAACTGAACTGCATCATTTTCCATTTGTTTTGCTTCCACACCTGGGACTTCTTTAGCAGAGAAATATTGGAGACTCGTAGAGGCACGAAGGGAGCACTTCCTCCTCACAGAGGTAGCAAATCATCTTACTGACATTGCGTCCGCCACCTCACCCATGATTTCTGCTGCGTTCCCTCTTGTTTATCACTGACGAGGAAGACGATCGGCTCTGGTCTGGGAGGGGCATAAGTGACCCCATGACAGAGGTTCGCCACTGGGACATGAGAAAAACAGTGACTCAGATGTTCTCATCTGTTCCCTTTGTCCTTTCAGCCGTGATTGCTTTTCCTAGTGGGCATTTTCAGAGCCACTTGTTCAGCCTGATCCAATTCTGTGTTTGTGAATTAGTCTGATCTTGAGGGCTATACCCAGTGATGAATATTGTGGTACATTTCTTCTGGTTCAGTGTCCATCTGCTATACAAGACAAGAAAGAACTGCTGAGTCTGACATGTGGAAAAGGAGATTACAAGATTAATGATCATTTATCATTATTATTATTATTATTATTATTATTGAGAGAGATTTTTGCTATAGGGTACATGCACTCACCAGAGAGACAGAGAGACAGACAGAAAGTGAGAAATCTCCCACCAAGGGAAATAGCCACGCTGCAATCCCTTCTTCAGTCTCCTTTTGGGATCTTGGGCATACACTAACACGTGCACCCAGCATGAGTTTAAGCCACTGGGTCCAGGACTCAAACTGCGATCAACTACGTGGGAGTCCAGCAACATAACCATTACATCTGCTGATCCCATTGTTGGTATTTTTAAATTTGCTACAGGGCACATGTGAATCCCCTGAGTGACAGAGAGAGAGAGAGAGAGAGAGAACCTCTTGGGAATGGCCATGTTGTAATCCCATTTCTCTCTTCTCCGCTTAAGATTTTGGGCATACACACACATGTGTTTGGAGTGTTTTTCAAGCTGCCAGGTCCTGGACTTGAACCACCTAATCAGCCATGTAGTATCCAATGCCTTAATCACCAAACCATCTGCTGGTCCACATTTGTAATTCTTTCTCAGCTTATTGTTATATTATTCTTTCCCACCTCAAAAAAAATAAAACCATGTTTTTCCAAAAATTTTATCTTTCACTGACTCCACCTCCTCCCTTGTGCAGTCTTCGACCTCCTGCAGTTCTCCGGCCAGAGGTTGAACCCAAGCATTCTGCAGCCAATCCTGACCCAGCCCACCCTGAATGAGCTTTATGTGATTGCCACCTTCAAGCTGCAGACTAAGAGCACAGCCACCATCTTTGGCCTTTACTCCTCAACTGACAACAGCAAATATTTTGAATTTACCGTGATGGGACGCTTAAACAAAGGTAAGCAAATTGGCGGAAATAATTTCCTTTAAGAATCCCCTTTTCTTGTTTTGGGTTTGGGGTCTGCTTTCCTTAAGATGGTTCCCTTGTAGAATTTTATTCTCACCTACCATTTATTCCAGCTTTCAACACTGAATTCTTTTTCTTATACAATCACGTATATAAGAAGGTAAGGAAAAGGGAGAGGCCAGACTGAGAGAAGGAATGAAGAGTTGCTTGTGTCCAAGGTGCTTCTTGGTCTTGTCCCGTCTTCATAGTATTTGAGATCCAGTCCTGGAAGGGACAGGACTTAAGACAACCTGGTCATTGTCTGACTCTGGCTGCTGTGACGAAATATCCTATACAACTGGCTTTAACTGCTAGACATTTATTTCTCTCAGAGACTGGGAAGTCTAAGATCAAGGTTTCTGTTGAGGGTCTACTTCTTGGCTTGCACACAGCTATCTTACCATTATAGCCTCACGTGGTATAGAGGGAGAGCAGTCTCTCTCACGTCTGTTTTCTCTCATGTCTGTTCCTACAAGGGCACTAATCCCGTCATTAGGACCCCACCCTCCACATCTCATCTACACCTACTCACTTCCCAAAGGCGCGGGCTCCAAATACCATCACGTTGGAGATTAGAACTTCAGTCTATGAACATGGCAGGCAGGGAGGGCACATTCAGCCTATAACAGCCACTTCACCATTGTTATGTTCCTTCAGAGGCGTGTGGCTTAGTAGGCTTAACTCCCAGCTCTGCACGCACGTTCCTGGCCTTGGTGGAGAGAATATGCCCCAGCTCTGTTTTCTGCATGTTTCATGCCAATTGACACAAGTCTATCACCTGTTTGGTCCCTCTGCTGTCATCTGTTTTGCTGCCAAAGTGAGTTACTGCAAGCACTAAGAAATGACTCCCAAAGAAAAAAGTCACAATTTTTCATCCTCCTTTCCTCCACCCGTGCCCTGGGGACAACACCTGTTCCTGTTTATTTAGGAATGTGACAGATATGTTTTCATGCTGTCTCGTGTATTTAATAAGATAGGAGAACTAGGCCTTTCTGGCTAGGTCTTGTATTTATTTCAGTTTGCTTTATGAAGTCGGCGCTTCTTAGTGCCTCCGACACTCAGATTCTACTCATGATTGAGCACTTAAATCTGCAGACGTTAGGAGCCGAAAGGAATTCCTAAAGGAAAGGGGTTTTAACTCCTTTTCTTGTGTCAGGTTCCAGCCTCCTCCTGGTCTCCTCCCACCCCACTCCTAAATCTGCTTTCTCCATCTGTGCCTTCCAGGCCCTCAGGGGCTGTGGTGCCGGTTCAGCTCATGAAGGGAATTTGGGGACATGGTAAGTGGATGGTTTGGCCATCCCCGTCCCCTTGGCCCCGTCTTCGGCCCCGATGAGAGGTGACTTTGCCCATCTCTCTGCCCTGTATAGAGCAGCCCCATTTCACCTCACATCTATTGAGGGCAGCTCATCTCCCAGCAGCCCAGTTGTTCAGTGTGCGGTCCTTAAAAATCGCTGCTCTTCGTCTGCAGATTAGCAGCTTCTTGTGGATATTTTTTAAAAGTATTGGAACGGGACTAGCAGGTAGCATAATGACTATGTCGCTGGACTCCCACGTAGTTGACCACTGTTCGAGTCCCGGACCCAGTGGCTTAAACTCATGCCGGGTGCGTGTGCATACGTGCCCAAGCTCCTGAGAGGAGAATGGAGGAGAAGATTGCGGTGTGGCCATCCCCCCTGGGGGGTGATTTCTCGCTTTCTGTCTCTCTGTCTCTCTCTGTGTGAGGGCCAGTCTTGTGACTTACCTCTCAGCAGCTCTGTGACTACACCACTCCCAATTTTCCGTCAGCCTCTCTGGACGCTTGTCCCTGTCTTCTGCAGCCTGCCACTAAGAATTGGGTGGCACTGGACTTCTGCATGGCCAACCATAGTTCAAGTCTTAGACCTGGTGGCCTGAAAACCACATCTGGCATGTGGCTATGTGCCCAAAATCCCAGGAAGAGAATGGAGATGGGAGTGCAGCATGGCCATCCTCTCTGGGAGCTGATTTCTCTTTTTCCCTCTCACTGTGGCAAGTGCGTGCACCCTATGGCAAACAACCTCTCAAAAAAAAAAAAAGAAGAAAAGAAAAAAAAGTATTGGAAGGATTTCTCTTCTAGCTCCTCCAACTTAATGCCTAGACGGTCCTCTGTAGAGAGGAAGCCTCTGCCCTCACCATGCATGTCTCTCCCTCTACTTCTCAGCGGGCCACTGTGTGTGACCCCAGACACATGACGCAACAACGTCCCCTAAGCCGATGCTTTCAGGTCCTGCTGCACAGGCAAGGGAGCATGTTCCGTGCAGGCCAAGGGATGGGCAAGGGGATTTCGTGTGCTTCTCGTGAAGAATCCCCATAATGTGATTCAGGCATAAATGCCAGCTGCACAGGCCTGGAAGGGAGAAGAGGAAAAGGTTGATGAACACCTTTCCACCCACCAACCTATTAGAGCTGATAAATAGTTCTTAGAAAATATGGGGGACAGAGGATCCTGGAGGAATCCAGAAATGAGAATTCTCAGGAAACAAAGAGAATTTATACTTGTGTAACTAGAGAGTGGAAGAATGTAACACAGAGAGGTCGTTTCACTGGAGCAATGGGGAAAGTACAAAGACTGGTCGACAATGGTGAATCCGAAAGTTCTAGGAAGGAGCAGAAATCCATTCTGACAGGAATGATGAAGAGATGTCACGGGGCCATCAGATCCGGGAGCAGACCTGGCATGTGGTGGTCATGCTGGCCTGACATAATCTATGGAGAGTGGAGGAAGAATTATCGTCCCGGACGGAGCGTTCCGGACATGCTCCACTGGGCAAGGCTCAGCTGACCTCCTGTTCTGTTGATTTGCATGGAAAACAGTGAACGAGAAGACTTTAAAGGCCTGAGTAAGAAATAAAACATCCCCTCCCCTCTTTTGGAGTCCATGACTAGGAGAGGAAAGAGGGTGACTACACACAGTATCGAAGGGCAGGATCTGGTTGCCTCAGCCCCAGATGACTTCCCAGAACAAGCTAAGGTGTTGCGACTGAACAGCACAGAGAATGAATTTGCACTGAGCTCTCTGCTTCTGCTCACCCTCTCCAAGGCATCCTCTCCATAGCCACCTCATTGCAGTTTACAGAACATAGTCAGGTTCATGGGATGCCTGACCCCCAAGACTTTGAACGGCTCCCCATTCCAAATGCAGAAAGCACAAATGCTTTAGCTGGACATTTGGGGCTTCTGCTGCATGCCCCTCAACAATTCTTTCCAACGGATCCCTCACTCCAGTTTTCAGCAAGCCTGTGCTTTAACCGGGTGGACTAGCTAACGTTCCCTAGGCCCACGCATGCTCTCTGTCCTTCCCCCTCCTTTTGCTCTTGCTCACTGCTTCCCCAGCACGTGTTCTGCACCATCTCTAGACACTGAAATCCTACACATTCAGGACCCACCTCAATTCCTTCTGGTATTTTTCCTTCTATGACTTCGCACCCCTTCAGGAAGGCACTAACATAGTTTGCCTTGTATTTGAATTACTTCTGAGTCTTCTCCACAATCAGTATGAGCTTCGGTAAGGCAGGGACTGACCCTCCCTGTATCATGGTACGTAGTGCAGCACCTAGTACAGGGCCTCGTGAGTGGAAGTGGTGTGTGAACAGATTTAAAAGAATAAATGGAGGCTGGGAAGAGTATTGTTAAAGGAGACATAACACCATTGTGAAATTCTGGAATTGCACAATAATCTGGCACAGGATAGATGCTTGAAAGAAATTTTTTGAATGGATGACTATTGAATACATTTTAGATGAGGGTATAAGTTAAGTCAGATAATACTTCTGATAGGCATTATCTAATCGTTTATTAGAAATGCAGGTGGTATATAAACAGAAAGAAGGATTCTACTGAAACCACCTGCTGGATAGAAGGTATGGCTGATGTTTTTCCAGTACCTAACATAGTATCCTGAGTTTGAGTCACAGCTAAAAATCTTACCAGCTTTGTCATCATGAGTACGTCTGAATCTCTCTCGGTCCTGGTTCCTTGTCTAAAGTGGTGATGATAGTAGCTGCCCTACAAGTTGGTTGCAAAAACGGAATGATATAATATATACATATATGTACATACATGTATATGATTTTCTTTAGTCTATGAAGCTTAATAAAATGTTCCGGTTCCTAAATAGTATAGGAGAGGTAAAGACATGTCTGCTGCTGTTCAGGCAACTGTCTTCCAAAGAAGATGGTTTGGTAAACTCTTGGCTTGCCTTCATGGCAGACTCACCTTTCAGAAAAAGAAAACAACAGCTACTTCTTTAGTCTTAATGCGATTGTCACAGAAGAGTAAGTTAGTGCTGTGACAATGGAGGGAACCCCCAAAACTCACTGTAATGACTAGAAAGAATTGGTTAAACTCCTTAACCCAAAGAGGGATGTTAAATAGTGGGGCCAGCAAGTGGCTTCATGGTTAAGGCACTGGATTCCCACGTGGTTGAACACAGTTCAAGTCCCGGATCCGGTAGCCTGAAAATCACACAAGGCTTATGTGTTGTGTGTGTGTGCACAAAATCCCAAGAGGAGAATGGAAAAGGGATTGCTGTGTCGCTGTTCTCCATGGAGGGTGATTTCACTTCCCTTCTCTCTGTCTCTCTTTATTGAGCACACACACCCCATGGGAGAAAAAAAAAGTCAAATAATTCAGAGTAGATGTTCCAAATCCCAAAGGCTAAAGAGAAATACATCTTAAGAGAGAAGGGAGAGCTTAAAAATTAAAATTCTGGGATTAATAATGAGTGTGGAGGGCTGGGAATGAAGAGCCTCAAACATGAATAGTAGTATTTATAGAGCCTTTACACTGTATCAGGACTGTACTCAAGGCTTCACACTCACTTTTCCTTTGTTCCCTTGAATGAGCTTGGTTTTAAAGTGGCCATATGCAGAAGATGGAAAGAATTTTGAAAGTTGATACAGAACTTTAGTAATTAAGACAGAAAAGCTGAAACC